AAACAGGGGTTTCCAAACTGTGTGTCGTGGCAAGTTGCTAGGGGTGTCGTGAGAGTTTCACCAAACGAAAACACTAACCAGGAGAATAGGTTTGAATATTAAACAGGGGTTTCCAAACTGTGTGTCGTGGCAAGTTGCTAGGGGTGTCGTGAGAGTTTCACCAAACGAAAACACTAACCAGGAGAATAGGTTTGAATATTAAACAGTGGTTTCCAAACTGTGTGTCGTGGCAAGTTGCTAGGAGTGTCGTGAGAGTTTCACCAAACGAAAAATAATTAAGAACATAAACAAAAAACAACTACAAATATTGCATATGGTAGCAGGGGTGTCGCGCAAATCAAGATAAGTGAGTTGGGGTGTCGTCAGTGAAAAAGTTTGTAAACCACTGATGTAAAATATTATACTATAAAATGTTATGTTTTTTGTTGCTTTGCCATAAACACAACATACAAATATTCTAAGATATTTAATATCTCCAGCCCTCCCTAAACAGAGGATAGGCAACCATTCAGCACCACCTTATCACCCACCTATCATGCCATGGGATTAACTGTCACTTTTATAACGCACCCACAGCTTAAAGTGCAGGAACCATTTTTGGTATCGTACAAATTCGAAACCGGCTCGTCAATGCGTTAGAAGGTAATTTACTGTCGTTCCCAGTCCCACAACAGTACACAAATGTTTTGTAAGGATGATTTTACCAGCTGATAGGAATAAGCAAGAAACGTACTTCAATTTCTGCCATAACATCAGGGTTGATTTCAGTCCGTACATCAGTCGTTTCCTTCTCAATACTTTCTTTCTTGTTAATATTATCGTCACGAGTTATTGTGGTCCTGGACTTTTGTTGTTCGGGATCTTCGTGTTTCCCGGAGTTTCCGTATTGTGCATCATTACCAAAGTCCTCTGTGGTTTTCGTGGCAGAATTGCCATTGCCTTTGTAAAGCAGATCTTCATTTGAAGATGATCTCGGCCTGTAATGGTCTTCCCTGGGTCTTTCAAAAGGGCGTTCTGCAGATTTGTTCCTCCTGTGTGATATAATTCTTCCTCGAATTTGAAGTTCCATGTAATTACCGAGCTTGCGCAATGGACTTCGTCTAGTCTTCGTTGTCTGTGGCCTACTTCTCCCTTCTTTGGAATCATTTATATACTCAGTTTCTTTGTCTTTTGATGAGCTTTTAACAACATGAGGCACTGAAATGAAAAAATAACAATAACAAGGAAACAACCAACGAAAACGAGTTTGACAAAGTTAGCAGTATTATCATAATTAACATTGCACAAAGGAGTTGTGGTATTTAGTTTGATCTTATAGATATTTTATTAAATGAATAAATTACAAAAGAGGTTTTGTTAAGGGTCGTTAAAAATTTTCACCATTTTCAGAAGCATGCGAAACGTATGCTTTTTCGTGTCCCCCCATCTCTCTGAAAACGTACACAGAAACAAATAACAGATAAGATATAAAGTTGTAATAAAAAATCTTTCTCGGTACTCATTTAGCAAGTTCTAGATGTTATACAAATGAAACTTGAAGATTGTAAAAAAAATAGTTTTAATATTAACGTAAAAATCATCTAGCACTCAGGTTAGTTCGCAAATTACGACAAATCTTTAGTAAAAATATTTAATTTAAAATAAGGTTTGGATTTCGCGCAAAGCTACACGAGGGCTATCTGAGCTAGCCGTCCCTAATTTAGCAGTGAAAGACTAGAGGGAATGCAACTAGTGTTACCACTAACCGCCAACTTTTGGGCTACTCTTTTACCAGGGAATAGTTGGATTGACTGAAACATTATAACGCCCCCACGGCTGAAAGGGCGAGCATGTTTTGTGGGACGGGGATTCGAATCCGCGACCCTCAGATGGCGAGTCAAGCGCCCTAACCAAGATACATTTACTACAATACAAAGTTATAATATATAGCTTCATTGTTACATGGTTACGTGCAAGGTTGGTCAACGTGACCAACCCCGTACACAGATCACAAACTTTGTCTAAGTTGCCGTGGGTCAATTCTCTTGCAAGATATTTACTGATAGCAAATAACATCGTTTCGACATCTTTTTTGAAAACCGCGCTCGAGCTCTTATCCTCTCCGTCCCAGTGTATGTTTTGTACGCTCGTGAAAATGGCTAAAAGTATATATAACATATTTCCGAAATGAAGTTGAAAATTTCCCATTGTGCTTTTGCAAATTTCACACAATACATGGAGTTAAAGCACAAACTGAGCAGTCTGGCCTAAACATGTTACATAGAATAGTGTGATTACATACATGAAAACTTAGTTGTCTCTAGATACTAAACTCACACGAAGGGAAAGATTCCGTTGTTTTGACGCCATCTGTCCTCAACTTTTTGCGGAATTTTGGCGAATAAATCAGTTTGGCAACTTTGCCTTTGAGAGACACATCCCTACAGTCGTCTATCGATTTAGAAATGTGAATCTTGGGTAGTTTGTCCTGGTATGATTCGATTGGGTTTCGTTTACAAGGATTTTTTACGCTGTTGGACTCCATTGTAGGCTTAACGTGAGAGGTATTGCTTGTTTTGATATCCAGATCTCCAAAAGTCGCTCCGAGCTCACGTTTGGTTTTTCCCAGGTTATCGTCGATCTTCTTTAACGTTCGATTTAATTCGATTAGTTGTTCCTGGAAGTGTTGATGAACCTGAGGAATATTGTGGATATTATGAGGTGGAGATTTCTTGTTGCCTTGAAGATGTTTTTGGAGGGTGTCCATCTGGTGGTGTGAAAACAAAACACACATTATATAAACAAAACTACGAATAAAATGGTATGAAATTACAATTAGTGAACAATGCTCAAATAAACTCATTATTTAACTTCTGTAGTGCATATTGGTGTATTTATTTAATTGGACACTCAACGTTTCGCTTGACAGCTTTTTTCAGGAGCGTTCCACTAAAACACATACCGAAAATGACAGTATAAAGCTTAAAAAAAGTTTTGTACTGTCAGTTACGGTTTATGTTTTAGTAGAATGGTCCCGAAGAAGCTGTCAAACGAGGCCCGGTATGGCCAGGTAGCTAGAGCGCTCGACTCGCAATCTGAGGGTCGTGGGTTCGAATCCCCGTCCCATCAAACATGCTCGCCGTTTCAGCCGTGGTGGCGTTATAATGTAACGGTTAATCCCACTATTCGTTGGTAAAAGAGTAGCCCAAGAGTTGGCGGTGGGTGGTGATAACTAGCTAGAGCAGAAAGCCCTCGTGTAGCTTTGCGCGAACTTATAAAAAAAACTGTCAAGCGAAACGTTGAGTGTCCAATTAAAGAAAAACATCAGTTTGGTGTTATATGGTCGTTTATTACTAGTTTTAAAATACTCAAATAAACAGGAACAAGGGAAAAATGTACAATTTGCAGGCGAATTCATACAATATTCTTTAAATATACGTTATACACTTTGTGTCTCAACAATATTTCTTTGTTGTCTGTTCTTGTAAACTACCGGAGTAATGTCTATCCTCACAAAAAAATTCTGCGAATGACCGTCATATTTGTTAAGGAGTAAAAATCGTAACAGTGTTACGTTATCATACAGTACAAATCTAGCAAAGCAAAAAATTCTGCGAATCACCGTCACATTTGTTAAGGCGTAAAAATCGTAACAGTGTTACGTTATCATACAGTATAAATCTAGCAAAGCATGAATATACATGATTACAAGGTGTCTAATAAGCCAGAGATTACATCATCATGCATCAAAATATATCTGGTGTCTTCCTTGTCTTGGTTATCTACCTATCTTTCTATCTGATATATCTCTCTGTAGCTATCTCTCTCTCTCTCTCTAGTATATATATATCTGTGGCTATATCTCTCTCTAGTATATATATCTCTCTGTGCCTATCCCTCTCTCTGTGGCTATCTATCTCTATCTAGTATATATATACACATCTGGGTATTTATCTTTCTATTTGTTATCTCTCTTTTTGTCTCTCTTTCTACCTGGTATCTCTGTCTGTCTATCTTTCTACCTAGTATCTCTCTCTGTCTGGCTGCCTATTCATAAACCTGTCCATCCATCATATAATATTAAATATCGTCACTATAATATCCACTAAAGATGTTACTGTGTAATATGAACTAACTCTTTGAGTGCAAAGCCATATTGGGCTATGTGCTGTGTCCACGTAGGAAATCAAACCCCGGATTTTATCGTTGTAAGTCCGTAAACTTACCGCTATCCCATCTGGGGAACAGATAAATTTACGTGTCAGCTGATCTGTTTTTGTTCTTTTTTTTTGGGGGGGGGGTATTTTGGGATGGATAAATTCAGTTTTCAAGTCTTCAAACTTTTTGTCTTCGTTCAGCATATGTCACGATCCAATTTATATTACTTGATAAGAGCATAAGACCACTAATTTTATGTATTGGTTTATACAACGTTTAAGGCACAATTGTGTTGGCTTTACTGTAGTTTTTCGCTCGGTGTAAAATTTTTACACATTTTAGTGGGAAAATATAAGTTGTAAAGGTTTACCTGACCAAGTTACGGATCAATGTAATGTCACGGGCACGTGACTATTCTGATCAACTGTTCGTTTTGATACATATTTTAAATATAACACGGATCCCTCCTAAAAAAACAGGACGATGTATTTTAAATATAATACGAATCCCCACTCCCACAAACAAACAGGATGACATATAAATATAACAGGGATCCCCCCCCCAAAAAAAACAACAAAACAGAACGACATATTTTAAATATAACACGGTGGGTAGTGTAGAATGGTAATGCATTTTTTATTACTTACACCTGGTGTCCCTGTAACTTGTTCCCGTAGACATAATAAAACAGCTCACCCATCTCTTATAACCTTCGCTCTCTTCAATGAGATCACGTGAATTATTTAAACATTCCGTTGTGTCATCGTAAAGTATAATATCTGTAAGTTACCTCTACCTTCAACTGAGTGGATATTTTCCGCTGTCGTAAATGAGTTGCTCTTTGTAAAGCCTCCTGGTGAGAAGAAGAAAAAGATGTTTCTTCGGAGCTCTGCATTTTCTGTAGGATGATAACAAATATACAACACCAGAAACTCTGATAGCTCGTGCTTTTAAATCCATACGAATCATGTTAATCAAGACCCTTGCGGTAATCTTTAGTTAAAATGCAAAAAAATACAACACAGTAAAACCAAAAGTTTTAAGTAAAATATATTGTAACATTTAACAAAAAATGTTAAGTAAAAATATATTGTAACATTTAACAAAAAATGTTAAGTAAAAATATATTGTAACATTTAACAAAAAATGTTAAGTAAAAATATATTGTAACATTTAAAAAAATGTTAAGTAAAAATATATTGTAACATTTAACAAAAAGTTTTAAGTAAAAATATATTGTAACATTTAACAGTGAACTATATAAGTTTTGTTTTTCGATTTCATCGAATTTGTGGTTGATTATCATAGATCATGATTATTTTCAATCTAGTTTATGGTGATGATTTTTTTTGCCCGTTTGTAATTTTTACTGATAATTCTATATGTTACTTATTTATTGTTACTTTTTTGAGAGGTAAGTCCTCAATCCACTGTTCGATCATGACAAAAATCAAGTAAAAGTAAAGTAAAATTATATTTGGTTTTAGAAATATTTATTTTCATAACCACATCGCACAACGACCAATACAATATTTATATGGCTTTTTTGTCTCTCAGGTAAAATTAACATATTCTTCACGTATACACCAATAAATAAACGTAATACATTAGATGTTAGGGTTACTAAGGAAAAGTGAAAATAAAACCTAAAGACAATGGCCGATCTAAAAATCTTTCTTAGTATCAGTTTGTAACTGAATAACAGCCATGCAGTTCCGCTAAGATTTGTTATTGTTTTTTTATCTACTTAACTGATGGTAAAGATAACTGTGAAAGATTCTAGGAAGTGGTTACCGATTTTATGTTGAGACCTCCAACAAAACATGTTTCTTTCTTCATCTTTATAGTATGTACAGAGGCTTCAAATATTTTTCACGATATTGCTTTGCATTTTATATATTTTATCTTTATAACTCCAAATAATTATCTTGATCCCAGGGTTTAAACTGGAGCGGAACAGTGCGGAATGGCGTCTCGTATATTGAGGCTTCAAGCGTTCCTTTTCTTCTGACTGCAATGTCAAAGTGGATCACAAAAGGGGTTCTCTACCTCTTTCAAAATCCCAGTTTAGCCTCTGCTTGATCCAATTATTTTAATATAAACACTGATGTAACGAGTGAAATAGCTAGAATACGGTAAAGTAGCTAACAACAGTAAAAACAAAGCTCTAGGACTTATTCTCATACATACAAAATGTATTACAACTTTACAAACAAAATATGTGTTTTACCATAGAAGGCAGCAGCATATGGACCACAATGTGTTTTATCATAGAAGGCAGCAGCATATGGACCACAATGTGTTTTATCATAGAAGGCAGCAGCATATGGACCACAATGTGTTTTATCTGCCTTCTATGATAAAACACATTGTGGTCCATATGCTGCTGCCTTCTATGCAGCATATAGACCACAATGCCAAATTTACCTCGTCTTTAATTCTTTCTTATTACAAAGTAATTTATTTTTACGTTTTGTTGTCAGCAGAAATATCATGTCCAGAAAACTATACGGTAACACTATAGTTTCAGTTTTCAGGAAAGCCTAATACAGATATTTTACTAAAAACTATACGGTAACTCTATAGTTTCAGTTTTCAAGAAAGCCTAATACAGATATTTTACTAAAAACTCCTTCTGTTCCCATTGAGGGGAGGGATTAAACACCCATTTACACCCAACTACTATTTTTTTTCGTAAACTAATTTTAAAACTCTAACTTATAACATCAAGATTGATTATGAACAACTTATCTTAAACAATTTGGTTAACAAAAAAACGTCTAATTTTACTTTCCTTTTGTCGTTACGATTCTAAGATTACAAATGATTCATATCATACTTACGGTAAAACACCGACGTTTTCTGTCCGTTATATCTCTCTTCTGCTTCAATAATTCCTTCAGGAGCTCTAGTTTTTTATTTAAGGTATCATCTTCCGTCTGAAGGCCACCCTTGCATCTACGAACTGAAAAGTTTGAAAACTGGTAAATTTCAAACAACTTATGACTATTCGCGCTCTGTCAGAGGGGAGTTATATTTCATTTTTATTTCGTTTTTTTTTTGTTTGTTTCTTTAGAATTTTGTGCAACGCTAAAAAAAAAAACATAGGGGCTATCTGCAGAAAG